TAAGCTCCCGGACAATGTCTTTGCTATTTATGACGAGACAAATTTCGTTCATTTAAGGTCTCCTTTACCACTAAAGAGCTTAGGGAGCAGTTTAAAGTTCCTGAATGGAACACAACAGTCGAAATGGATGACGAAGATGTGTTGATTTTGAAAAAAGCTGCTGCAGCAATGCCCAGACGACGAAAAAGACTCATGCATGTGGGCTCCTTTCAATAAATGCCTGATGAGAATTTATGAGTCACACTTTTCATCGAGACCGTTACTGCTTTTTTCCATGCGCTTGTTTGCTCAGGTACTTTTGGATGGAGTCAAACCACAAGAAGGTGAAAAACAGTGCAGATTTCTCAACTACCGTGATCCTAAAGAAGTAATTCCAGACAATAGCGGTCGTGTGTCTTCTGTAAGGTAAGACTTTTTCAAGTATTCGAAACTTTATTTCTATCGTTATCATTGCCATATCTCCGTATATTTCCTTTATAACTGTCTCACTCTCTTGTCACTTTGGGACAAGAGGCAGGCTTTTCTTACTTCACTTATCTACTTCACTTTGGATCAAATGAAAATTTATTGATTCACTCAAGAAAGGCAAAGAAAGATTTTTAAATTATATGTGAATCCCCCGCCGAAAACAGGAGACTGTGATGGAGCGTGATATATATCATTCTTAAAATATATGTATCATGACATGCTTGTGGAAATATATTTATGTGTAGAAAAGTTTTAAGGAAAATTTGTGATAAAGCAATGTAAAGATAGTGTTGCCGCATACTTACTCATTTCAATACTTATATGGCCTCTCTTCACTCGTCGTGAGGCCCCAGCATTGTTTTCATCCATCTATTTTCTATCTCTCGCTAGTGTTATTCACGATGTTGGTACCGAACTGCGATGGCGATTCGCGAGGTCCAGATCCGTTAATCGTTACCAACTGAAAATTCAGCTGGTCCGTCCGTATCACGGACACGTCAGTCCATCTGTTCGGTGGCCTCCATCGAGGACGTTTCGCTTCGCGAGGAATCTATTCCAGAGTTTTGGCGTCCATTTGTCGGTACAACTAATAGATTTTCCTCTGTACTTAGCAGTCTTTTCAGGGCAAGCCAAGCTTTCACCACAGGCAGTCACTGACCTATATGGATCAGAAAACTCTC